AAGTGGAAAAGTCAAGGCAATAAACGTTTGTACTTAGGCGCAAATATCGTGGTACATGCTTCGGGTATTGTATTGTCTATGCCACCTACCCCTTCCCCTTTATTTCTTTTTCTTTTTTCAAAATATGAAGAGTTCTGCCTTCAAAAAGAACCTATTTGTGTCTGTAGACAAACAAACAAACAAAAAAAATAACAAACAAACAAACAAAAAAACCCAACCAAACAAACAAAACGAACAAACAAACATACAAACAAACCCAATCAAACAAACAAAACAAACAAACAAGCAAACAAACAAACAAACAAACCCCAAGGCAGTGCTTCTGACTGAAGTGTCTTTAGGCCATTCCTAAAGGGGGAATATTAACATGTTCTTAGGCACAATAGAATTTTGTAAATGAGCTGATTCATCAATGTCACGCTCATACTGTGCTGGAACAACAGGGGGGGAATGCTGCTTTTTCTTTCCTCATCCTTACTACCGTCAGTTTTCCTCTACTTATTTTGTATGTGTGTCACTCTCTTGTGAACTGCTATTTCCGGGGTGCCTTGATAGTCGAAGCAGATTTTGTGTTGTTGAGGCTAGACAGATGAGCAGAGTTAGCCTGGTTCCCCATTTTGGACTTCTCTGTTGACATCCACCCTCTGGTGCTCATACGACCGTATGCAGTTGCGAGAGCCGTACAACCTCACTAAAAAGACGAAAACAAACAAACAAACAAACACAAAAAAGCATTTTAAAAACAAGAACAAGCTAGAGCAAAAATGTAGTGTACGGGACCTCTTTTAATACGGACTCCTCCCCCTGTCATCATGTTGTATATGTGAGTCAGCGCGGTGGAATCAGGCGCTCGTCAAAATAATCAAAGTGAAGAAACTTGCATTTTCCCCACAGGTTTGTGAATTTTTATCAAATTTTTGTTTTTTGGCTCAACACCTTTCTTGTCCATTAAAGAACTCATTTCTGAGTGGATGTTTCTGAAAAGCGTTGATTAAAGGCACAAAAATGTAAATTTTTAGTTACCACGGACTCTTAAGCTCAGGAAATAACTAATCTTTGGCGGATATTTTCTCACTAATTTTACCTCTGAAAACAGGCGACCCCCACCTCATTATATCGCATATATCTCGACTTGCATTCAAGATAAATGGATATTATTTTCATCCAAATAAAGACAAGTGAACAAGCTTTAAGATAATGCTAATAACTCTACATGCCCAAAAATTGACGAGAGCCTGATTCCACCGCGCTGCCTCACATATATATACATGTGTCACGACGCGGTGGAATGAGGCGCTCGTCAATTTTTGGGCATGTGAAGTTATTGGTATCACCTAAACGCTGATTTGTTTGCCTTGCTTCCAATGAAATAAACATCCATTAATCGTTAATGGAACTCAAAGTATTTGCTATGGAAGGAAGTGAGCTCGCCCGGTTTCAGTGGTGAAATTACCGAGAAAATGGCGGCCAAAATTTGGAAACTCCAATAGC